CGAGCAGCGCGGCAGTGGGGCGTCTGTTTGTAAAGACGGGGAGGGGCTAATGGGCCTGACTGGTCCGGCCTTGTCTATGGGATAGACAGAGGGGTTAGAGGGACAGCCGGGGCGGGTTAGTAATGGTCAGTGTAGGCTAATGGCTCACCATTACATTGGTATTGGGGTGGCACTATCTGTCGGCCATCACGCGCGCGGTCCGGCCGCAGTGGGGTGTGGGATTCGAGGGGAGGGGAACAGGTCAGGTGGTATCATTTTTGGGGCGCTGGTCACCATTGACGCGTCAAACTACGTCAGATGACGTCATGACAGTTCAATTGGCGATGTTTGTAATTAATCTTTTTTTTGCGGTGAGGGAGCTAGGATTAGGTTTAAGGCTAAGTTTGTATCGAGAATGGCGAGTTGACTATCTCGATCGCAATGCACCGTTTAGGACTTGAGCTTGACCACTGCTGTATCGCCCGTTTGTAAATATAGCGTGAAAATTTAACAATCTGTCTGGGAAAAAAAAAGAAGGGAGGGTTACTCCAGATATGTTGCTGATTCGGATTCACAGAGACCGCTAATGTAATTATCATTGAGTCGTCATCGTCGATCACACGGCCTCACGCCGGCCTCACACCACAGGTTCACCGGAGTTAAATGGGACTACGCCACGGCCGTCTGATCATCAATCAACGGAAATGCAATGATCACCCCTCACGACGCGACCATCACAGATACATTTTTTTTTTTTGAAGCTAGCAGGTCAGTATAAGTTGTTTCATAATCTAACTAGTTTGAACTCGGTAGGCCAGCGTATCAATCCATTGTCAATCTAGTGTTAATTCCAAGTCTGTCAATCGATTCTCAATTCTTACAAGTGCTATTCGAGATAAATCGACGGTCAGCGTAGGATCGCCACATTCCTGGGACAGATTCACCATTTGGATAAGGTTTGATACGAAGGCGGCCCAAGAAGTCGTGACGTGTTCAGTTACATTCGGATAAGGAGAGTAAACATAAACATCAAACATTATTCTGCTCCTTCGGCAGCTCAGCGCCAGAACAAGAACGCTGGGGGTCTGAATCGCCTTCCGGGTTGTTATTAAATCAGCATTGAGTCGTTTCGTGATTCGCGTTCATATAACCGATACAAATCTGAATCACCTTTTCAATCGTTATAAATTTATCGCTGTTCGTAACCTGTCAATCAATCCCCCTTTCTCTCCTAGCATTATCAGTACCTAACGGATATTGATGCCAGCTCCCCCTTCGAGGTATATCAAAGAATAACGTGGAAATGTTACGGTTGCTAAATTGATGCATCATTTGAGACAATGGATCATAAACATCAAGCGAGTTACCGTTCAATGTGACGTGATTATGTCAAAAATGTCACCCTGCTTGCACACGCCTAGAGTTGGTTACGGAGGGAAGCGAGAAATTACCGCAGCTCATGTCCTTCATGTAGAATAAAGAATTTGTTCTATTCAGGTCAGATTGTCCCCAGGCCACCTTACTGAACGAGATGCAGATCCTAATTAGCTGATGTTGGACCTGTGAGCTTTTCTCTAAACTGAGCGATTGTAGTCCGCGCGAAATGAAAAATGTATGACCTTGACCTTAAACATGACCTTAAACAATTAACAGGTCAATTGACGCACCAACGGTAGCACCACTAGCGCCACCTACAAGATCCATTGCCTTCGGCACAAACTCCGACAGCGCTCAGATGCAGCTGACAGTACTAGCAGTGCCGCCTAGCGTGAAATAGACCAAGCTGGTTCCCTAAACTGCCGCAAGAGGTCCCTCGTGTCGGCACGCAATTGCGTGTGACTGACTGAAATGAGTGGGTGAGTGAGAGGGCGAATGTGAATGATCATAGTGAGAGAGAGAGAGAGTGAGCGAGAGAGAGAGAGAGAGAGAGAGAGAGAGAGGGAGAGAGAGAGAGAGAGAGAGAGAGAGAGAGAGAGAGAGAGAGAGAGAGAGAGAGAGAGAGCGAGAAGGTGAGTGAGCGAGAGAGTGAGTAAGCGAGAAGGTGAGTGAGCGAGAGAGTGAGTAAGCGAGAGAGTGAGTGAGCGAGAGAGAGAGAGAGAGAGAGAGAGAGAGAGAGAGAGAGAGAGGGAGAGAGAGAGAGAGAAAGAGGGAGGAGGATGTCGAAGCAAAACGTTTTAATTCAGTCTTTACCAAGATCGACCCCATAAATGAAAGCTTTTGGTACGAATGAGATGCGTGACACTCTACTGCCACCTAGCCCGTGTAACCTACAACTACATCCACTAGGCGGCGCCAAAAGCGTCGATGAGTCGACGCTCGATGAGTCGATGAGTCGAGAATGGTCGCCGGTCAGGTGTGGAACAAGGTCATATCCCCGCTAAGCTCATAATTACAAGCATTTAAAAATGGTTATCATCTAACTCTCTGCGTTGGCTTAAATTACAGATATCGTATAGATTCGATGAAATATCTTTTGTTTAAAGGACTCAGAGCAATAACAAACCAAAGGTCTGAGTTTCAACTTCGTTTCAACATCTAACATATGAGGGAATCAAACAAGATAGCTTTTGATCACAGGGCACATTCTCAAATGATCTAAATAACATTTAGTGATCATTGCATTGAAATTACACTTAATTTATCGTAAACATCCGAGTAGGGTATGATACTTCATTGCAAATCAGTAGGCAAGGTGTGAATTGCTAATGTAGACCAGAGGAAGCCAAGGGCGTGGGCAGTAGATCTCACATCCAGTCCCGTCGGATTGGAGAGCGCTGGCCCAGCAAGCCCTCAGCTCAGCGGAATCGCGAACAATGCACAAACATGGACCTGCTGAGAGAAACAAATTATCTGGTAAGACAGCTGGACGAACCCCTCTTTCAACGATTGACCCACGCTGACCTCAGTAGGAAGGCGGACAAATTTGCGGGTGGTCAAAAAAGGGGGAGAAATTGACAGCAGTCACATACGACCAAAATTTTAGTAAATCTTGGTGAACAACTCTACGGTCTAATTCTGGGAGAAACAGGTTACCTTCGTCAGTCGAAACCAAACTCTACATCGCGAGTCAGGTTAACATTAGATTAGCAGACAGTTATAGGCTAAAACAGGAATGGGGAAATTAATTGTGTTATGATTGAGCGCGCATCACTAAAACTTTGACATTGCCACCCCAAGCCTAGGAGAACAGTCATCTCATGTCAAGCGTGGTGTGAAAAGCTACTGACAACTGTACTTATACGAAGTTTTGGAGGGACACGCTGAAATTTATGAATTCAGATGATAAATCAGTAACATGCAACAATTCAAGTCATATTATTCCCAGTAACATCCGTTAGTTGATCTCTTTCTATTGACATGATCTATTGAACATGGAATTTCAATGTCAATGACCATTGACCCCTCAGGTCACACTAATCTCATATCTGGCCTTGGATGCTAGCAAAACAGTTTCAGACCAGTGCGGTTTCACTTAAAAGGGATATCCTGGAATTGAAATTTATAAGGCATCATTGAACATGACAAACTTTGTCAGATGGCGGAACAGATACAACGAAGGGCTGTCTATCGGATTGTCCTCTATCCTGGACAGCTACCTTGACTGAGATTATAATAGCAGGTTTGCCAGCAAAAGTACCCACTAGGTAAATAACTCAAATTACCATTAACACTGGAGAAATGGCAATGAGCGTACTATTGATTACACCAGTCTTTGCCGAGCCACCAATTTAGTTTAAAATTTAGTTTTGGAGGGAGGCGGACAAAGCGCTGAGGACAAGCATCATTCTCCAATGGTCAGTTCCCCATTAGCTTATTGCAATTTACTGCTCCTGTCTCTGATTTGATATAGCCATTTCCCATTGCTGATGTCCCCCATTTGAATAATTGGATACCAAATTTGCCAAATCTGTATACCTTCAACACCATAGCAATCGGTAAACCGAGCTACCTTAAAATTAGAACATCACAAGTTGATTGTCCATTGCAAATTAAATAAATCATCTGGACCAGTATGTCAAAAAAAAAAAAATCTGCATTATGAAATTGATTCTAAAAATCGGTTCAGTGGCATAACATGAAATCACATGATTTGGATTGTCTTTAAACCGAAATGCCAAATTGAGACTAATCCGGCGCACTACCTTAGAGTTCCCTTGATGCAAATACTTACGACCCCAGAGAAATTTGCGACAGCGAGGCGAGGGACGCCAGACAACAATCCACATAAAAAAATATTCATGATCACAAATGATTGGGCACTACCGAGGATTGCTTCAATCTTCATTGAAACCACGGGGAACACTCAAGAGAGTCAAGTTGAAATTCCGACCAAAAAGTGGCGTGTCCAAGGTTAGACGATGAGAAGTCAGGATGAACCAACCCGCCGACGACACAATCTTATGACGTCATTACTGATCAACAAGTGTAAACACAGTCTGTTTCCTGGAATATGACGTCATTGAGTGAATATAGCAAGCTACGGCGGAGACGTTTCGGCTGATAGGCGTAAATATCGTGTAGATGAAAGGAGTAGTAGATGGTCTGAGTATTTGGCGGCGCAGATTTCTCTATCCGATGATTTTTTTTTGTTCATGTCGCGGGTAACAATTGATTCGTACCGCGCAGCGGTGCGCACATGGACTGAAGGGATTCTACGGATCAGACAGGTAAGGAGATACAGAAGGAGTGACTTTGAAGTGGTCGATAGATATTGAAACCGGAATTACATAAGGAGGAAAGATCTAAGGATGGATGCTAGCCGAAGAGGAGGTATGTTGCAACACTTTCATGTGTTTTTGACTCTGCTGATACGTCTAAGTCTACTAGGATTGGAACTGTCTCACGTTACGGAGGAAGTAAGTAAACATGTTAGGCAGATATCAGAACAAAGAACGCCATAAGACGCCCAAGCGGAGAGGTGAGTCAGAAAGAGACAGAGACAGGACGAGGGAGCACACTGCCGAAGGTGAGTGACAATACGAAAATGATAGAGAATTGGGCGAAGGATTAATACCGCCGAGATGAGGTAAGTGATTAAGCCCATCGTTGGAAGGCCACAGCATGTATCACTCATGAAGCTAACGCGCGTGAACACACATCTGTAGGACAAACTTCCGCGACTTCGGATAAAATTGAAGGTTAGATAAGTCATGGAGTCTTTCGAATCACACCGGTCAATGATTGAAAGGCGCCACTCGCGGGTGCCATGGCTGTATGAGAGGGTAGGGACCTGTTCGAGCCCAAAGAGACTGCGGTCGCCGGGGCAGCAGGCTTGTGTCCACCGGTTCGTTAGGTGAAAACGCGTAAGACGGTCTCTCACAGAAGGGCTGCAAGGGTCAGTAACCAACGTCCGGCCGCGGATATTTTTAGTAGGGAGACAGAGATGTGCCGTGAGCGGCAGGGGTTGACGAACCAATCATAGTCACCGAGGAACGCTAATAACTGACGCTACCCGCGTCATATCTTTAGACAAGTAATCGGGGTCAATGATGTAGGTGTTCGAAGAGAGTGGGCCGGCAGAGATTGATTGAACCAATCACACCCATCGACGAACGCTAATAATGTAATCGCTACCTGCGTTGCACCTTTAGACAAGTAATCAGGGTCAAGTGATGTAGGTGTTCGAGGATATTGGGCCAGGGAGCCCAAGAGGTGCTAGGAAGAGCACACACGATTCCAATGTTGGAATGGGGCGCGATAAGTCGTTGGGAGGTAAGAGTAAGCTTAGATGAAATTCACACTAATCACGGAGTCTATTGAACAAATTGCGTTTATTGTCCCTGATATGTACCGCTGGAGGGAGTTAGAACAATTGCTGGGAAGGACTGAGAGGTCGACGCGGGATCAAAAAATTTATTGTAGTGGGATGAGAGAGGTATGACAAAGAGAGTGAGTCTGAGGGAGATTGAGGTATGCGTCATATAGTGTAAGGACCAGCGGGAGATCTAATCTCAGCATTGAGGGCGACATTAAATGGGGATGTACTCGATTATCTTTGGGATGATAGGCATTAGAAAGGGAGAGAATGGTGGGTAGCTATCAGGTATCAGATGGTGGCTTCAGGTTATGTCCTCAAGGGAGGCATCAAAAATTATATGCTTTGGGGAGACATCCGTGTCCTAAATTCCTTATGAGACAGATACCATCCTAGGCAGTGAAGACTATATGTTGACAAGCGACAAGCCAGCCTCATTATAAATATTGTTTGTGACGAGCCCCAGGCGCAAGGAACGGTGGCGGAAAGGAATCGGTCAGCTTGAAACCAACGGACCGATCAGCAATTGGAAATGGGTGTGTAATTACGTTGAACAAGAGAGAAATCAAACAGCAAGAAAATCAACTCATTAATCAACCCTTTGAGGATCTACCAGCCGAAAACACTCACCTGAAGTTGTTCCAGAGGATGGCGCAGGTCGGCAACCATCTCGGAAAGAAAAACAACCCCGATGGACGAAAATTTATTAAACAATAATTTTTTTTAAACATACTCCCCACCGCTTCCGGACCCCCAGGGGGCAACATCACAAACGCATACAAGTCCTGTTTTGTGCCAGACTGTTGCAGTAGCACTTATGAAACTCCGAAAACGATCTTCGTTCATGCCCCGAACAACATTACCCTGAGGAGATGATCGTCTGCAATAGCAAGAAGAGCTGATGCAAGTACTTTGAAATCCACTATCAAGTCGGTGATATTGTTGTAATGATCACTGTGAGGTGAGATATTTTGTGCACAAGGGCTGAGTAATGCCCAGGAGATGACCTCCATTCGCCCCCTGACCGGTCAGGGCTATACAATTTGAGTGGATGGCGGTCCGTTTGGGGTTCAGATGTCAATTGTATTTTGTTACTGTTAAACAATACATGTTATGCTGGCAGCGAATGTGTGTAACGTCGGTTTTCGAACAGAAGTTAGAACTGTAACGGCAGAGTGCTTGCTGGTCTCATCGTAAGTATTGTAACAGTATTGTAAGCATTGTCAATATTGTAAGTATTGCGAACATTGATGTATGGTAGATATCACCTCACATGATCTCGCCCTCAGATAACCCTCTCCGGTGTCCCTGTCAGTAAATGGCACCTGGATCATTACAGATAAGATAATTTGTCATAATTTATAAAGGATTGGGTGGTTTTGACTCGTTTGCTCGAGGCAGGTCGCATTTCAATATTTTTCCATAGGCTTGCAATGTAAAGGTCACGACTCTGACCTAACCTCAGGTCACAGATAAAAAGTCTGAGATATACAAACGACACATACTGCAGGTACTGTTTTGAAGACTTAATGAGAGGAAATAACTTCGTGAAAAACTCAAGCTCTGACGTGATTGCAAACTTTTCTGAGGTGGGGTCAACAAACCCGCTCTGGTTACCTGATCTGACCTGACCCGGCCTTCTTTTGCTGAGATGTGCGCAATGAGTATTTAGGAAAAGTCAGCAAATATGAGCTGAATGTCTCGCGGCGTTTGACAATTGTACAAGAAAATCCTGAAAGGCCTTCCCCGTCCGAAATAGGGTTAATGTGTATATGAAGAGTTGCAGATGCCAAACATACCTAGATCTAAGACTGCAGTTCCCAGCGCCGCTGCAACGTTTTTAAAACAAACATACATACATATAACATACAAACATGTTTAATTGCATCTGTTTTGGATAATAGCAACTCATGGCGCCATCACCCGCGATAACTGTTAGGATTTGAAATATATTTTTATTTAGGCCATTAGTTTGGCTGTAATGTTTATTAATATTAGTTGGGCGGAGTTTGGTAGTTTTGTTCAAACCTTTCAAATGTAAGGACCTTATTGAACTCAACCCTACCCCTACACTACCCTACATACGACTGGACGCTTTCCAAGCCCACAAGCATCACGACGCCGAGATGGAATGTAACCGGGAAATCACCCTCGCCATCTGCTCTAGAGCTAATCAGTGTGGGGCGGCGTGTGGGGCGCCGCTTAGCCTATGGGGGTGCACTTTGACTTGATGGGGGTGCACCTGCACCCTTTTCATATGGAAAGTTACTTCCCTGATTACAGCTCCCCGTATTGCACCTTATCAGGGAACGGCCAGCAAACGAAGGAACTATTTCTGGATGACAGGCGAATGGGTGCTCACGCAAGGAGCGGAGCTCGGCCCCGTCCAAAGTGGCCAACAAAGCAGAGACAGAGGCAGCATCACATCTTCCATCAAAGAACTGGTTTCTGGCTTGGAAGATGAGCTCCATCTTTGCATCCGAGTCGGTGCTGTCAGGAATCAGCTGGTCTAATGGAGTGAGACGACTAGCCATCGTATCAGAGCTGCCTGGTCCTCGTAGCATTTGCACCGATTCTTCTCGATCGGACTCTGAATTCTGTCACTCCTGCGTATTACTTGAGGCATTGCTATGTAGCTAACTTTGGCACAGTTTCATTATCCATGCTTTGCAAACAGTGCCATAACAACACAGTTAATTAATCACCAAGCTTCTTTGCAAGTTCCAATCATAGAGATCTTATATACATAGAGATGACACGCCTATGTTAAAGCACTTGATTTCGTGGCGATTCAGTGGGTCTTTTTAAGCAAGGTTTTCTGCGGTGCCATTGCCCGTGACTTGCATTTTGTAAGGATTCGGTCAAGGAGATTGTGTTCACATCCGCTTATTTTTAAGTACAGCTTTTCTTTTTTGTCTAGCTGTGACGCTTTCGAGCGTTATTATTGAAATGAAATTAGGCATGTTTTAACCTTATGCTTGTATCAGGTACTACATGTATCAGTAACCCTCGCCGGCCGACGGGGGGGGGGGGGGCCGGTGCCGCACCCCCTAATAGGGTTTTTTCACGATAACTACGAACACGCCGGCGATAGAGAGCTGAAACTTGGCATACCTGATCTTTGATCCAAGCCGCATCTTGTGACACCAACCGCATTTTCAGGTCAGGTCAGGTCACTGACCTGTCAAATCGCACGCGATTTGAGTACAAAAATCAAGGGAAGTGCCAACTTGTTCCCGTAAAATATTTTGAATATTGACCTAAAAATGAGTAATTGCTAGATAAAATAACAGCGAAATCAGTTTTCGCTTGCCAATAAAACTCACAAATATTGAAACTCCACTATTAAAGGAACATTTTAGTATATGTTATTCTTGATAAAATTTCTTTGCCACGCAATACCAGCCAGAGGCGGATCCAGCTCAGAGTTTTTTTTTTTTTGGGGGGGGGGGGGGCAAACCATAACAATTTATCGATTCTTTCCATGCCTCGTCCATAGGCGTAATGTTAAAATTATGCCGTTTGGGAGGGGCAAATGCCCACATTTGCCCCCCCCTGGATCCGCCACTGATACCAGCGCAAAATAAGGAGACACTGAAAAAACGACCAATCACTCCGATTTACCAAAAGTAAATACATAGAAAATATAGGTATGTCTCAACTGCGCCAAATATTCAGACAGTTATATACCTACATGTGACGTCATGATTAGTCCGACCAATCAGAAGCAAGTTGTTTTCAGTCACAAATAATCAATTTCTGAGCTAACTAGTCATTTTTTAATGATTTAAATTGAATCATGAAAAATTCTCAGCTTTCTTATTTTACCAAAACATACAGAGTGTGGAGATAGGTCCCAACCCTATTGCCCCTACATCATGTGGTTTACTGGCGCATATCTCGAAAAGTTGCAGGGAAAAGCAGCAAAGCACCTATATGGAACAAAAAATAAGTAATCAGAGGCTAGTATAAAATGTTCATTTTCAGCCGCTCGAAAGGACGTTTTATAAAAGTCTATTTAAAAATAAAATTTAGATATGATTTTTATTTAGGTCTTGGCTGCTGCTGCTTGCAAAAAGCTAGCTTATCTTGCAGAAAAGCGATGCAATATGTAAGAATGTTGTTGGCACAGTGAACAACAGTACCATGAACTAGTCTGAAAGAAAATTGCGTTCAAAACAACAGCTGGTCAACTAATAAATATCCACTAAACATTATATTAGCATTAAAATCGGCAAATGTGGTGCCCACTAGCGAGTCTAAATAGTCTTGTGTTTGGTGACAACTGACCACCTCAATTTAAACCTTAGGACAAAAATGGCATCAGAATCGTGTATTCTATGATCAATTTTTCGCAGCCTAGCGTGCTAGCCGGTGCGAAGTTCTGTTCGATGGCACTGTCACCTAGCGGGGGAAGGAAAAGTTCAACTGTAATCAGAGGACGCTTCGGTCGAGCACAGCGGTGAAATAGTCGATCCGATAGGCAAAACCGAGTAGGACAACCATCAGGAATGCGACGCGAATGCGACTGACCGGTGAGCGGGGCCGTGTTTCTCGGCACGCCACTACAGCGCGCTACAGCGTTGCGGGATTTTTTTTTTCTCAAATATCATTTTATTATTATTTCGCCACCACATCACACATGCACCCACACACAGTAACAAGAAGCACAATGCACATCACAATGGCACCCAGCAACATCTCTCATAAAACATATACACCCATTACGTAAGCCGCATCTTGGATCATCAATACGCAATAAAGCGGTGCCAGCCGTAATAAGGCGCGAAATATACGCTGTAAGTCGTCACGTCGTCATCATAGGGCAAGGACGCGGTAAGACGCGAATAACCGCAGGTGATCGGATAGAGATACCGTAAGTCACGATTATACGCCGGTTATCGGGGGACGATACCGTAAGACGCGAATTATACGCTGTAAGTCGTCACTTAGTCGTTATAGGGCAAGGACGCTGTAAGACGCGAGTTATACGCCGTAAGTCGTCGGTAGATGCAGTAAGACGCGAGATAATACGTAGTAAGACGTGCTTTGTGATCCCAAATGTAGACCATCGATGAGTAGAAAGGGCCCATTAGGCGAAACGTGTAGAATTAATTGATGTGTTTCGATTAACTCCGATAGGCAGAGTGGAAGTTCAAAGGTTCCAAGGGTACTCCAGAGCCGAGGTAATTTAGGACGTAGGATCGACTGCAGGGATAGGAAAAGGGGGAGGGAAGCGAGACGTCGCAGTTTGGTAATACGGACAAGTTTGAGTCAGATGAGTGAAAGTGTGTGAGACTGGATGAGTGTCTGCGGGAGCAATTGCGCTTAGGTTAATCAGTTCGACCACCTAGCACCCTTTTATTATTCTCAGGGATGGACCATGCCCGAGGGATCCAGAACAAACGCTTAACTGCCCCCCTGTGTTTTTTTTGTGGCGGTGAAACCCAATGATGCAGTGCCTGTGTGTTCGCCAAAGACTGACTTGCCTCAAATGGCCTCGCTAAATGCACTCCTCACCGAGGGCGGACGGCAGAGGTCAAAGTCCGCACAGAGCCGACCTGCTACCGGGGCGAACCAAACAGAGCCCAGGACGAATGAGGAGAGAGGCCCCCCTACATAGTAATTGGGTTGTGCGAGCCAGCGACAGTGATCTGAGGAAGCGAGACTGTTCCCGTGGGACGATTGCCCTGTCGGGACGGTCCAGCCGTCTCCCAAACAGTCACCCGAAGAGGATTATGTGTCCTGGAATGGATCCGACATCAACTACTGGTTGACTGGTGGGGTGACCTCCAGTCCAGAGAGGGAAGCATGAAGACTAGGGGCGATGCGGATTGGTTTTTCTTGAGGATAGCGAAGAAGGAAGGAATCTATGTAGCATCCTTGAACCTTCTTTATACTGAATGTATCTCAAGCTGTTAAATCTCCTAAGCGTTTTTTCTCGACATCGTCACGGTGTCATTAACAAAAATATGAAATCCGGGGGATAAATTAAATATAGAAATTGTGGCCAACAGAACATTACCAGTTGCGTTCAACATACTCGTAAGCATGTTCACACACCCAGCTTACATATGAGCCATGTAATAATTATTTTTGATAGACATGCTGAAGTTATGAAATCATCTGAAGAGTTAATAAAGTTCCACGATACGGATCTAATATCTTGCTATGCATTATGACCATTTCTGGTCAGGTCATGTCTTTGAACATAGGCCAAATTTTTCAAATGACCTTTAAAGATCAACTTTTGATTCATTCGAAGCGTTTTGATAAGAGGAACACGAGGCTGGTAAAATTAATTTCATGCAAGTTTTAAGCTAAAAACTTTTAAGTATTTGTGGAAAAGCAATTGGTTTTCTCATAATACCGATGGTGGCAGTTGTTATTTACTTTACTTTTTATTTACTTTACTTTACATTTTTTTACAGTTGTTGTTAATTACATGCTAAGCCGTTAACCTTAATTAAATCTGACAATATTATTCAGACATAGCGGTAAACGAGCTGCTTGTTGTGTTAGGTTAGGCTCTTTCGGTCAATTTCAGAGTGGGAAGGATGACAGGAATTAGGGGGAGACAGGGGGCCTGGGCGGGAGTCCTGGACCTCATGCTCCGCTGGGGCCGAGCCCATCACGTGGGTTGGATTGCCCTGACACATGGATAGCCCTGGGCGGTGTTTCACGGCCCCGCGCTGCAGCACGTTGCGCTGCGCTGCTGCATTGTTGCGGCGGTTGATATGAATTCGGCTCCACGCTAGCGTTGCGAGCTTCCGAGTCTGTTGATGTTTCCATGGAAATTGGAAACCCAATGCACCGGTGCGCGCAACGCACCCTGTCTAAGCAAAATTTTACCATCGATGACCTCTAGTGACATGACCTCTGGCTGTGACCCGATCCAAAATTGGCTGAAGTATTTTTTCTTTTTGCTTCTTTTGACGCTACTTCGAATACCAGTTAAATGCCCAAAGCTGAGTTAAAAGAATGATGCTCAATCCCCATTTCCCCTCCAACAGGGCGTGAGAGTCTAGGCATTCCTGTGGGGCACGGGCTAACAATGACTATCTCATAATCATTGTGGCCATGAACATCTACTGCCATTCTTTAACACCGGTTTCGCTGCGCTGAGCGGTGGCCGTCCCGTTTGTTGGATTCTACAGCTGGCTGGCGGAAAGCGTTACCGGCCGCCCGTCCACCGCCCGCGGGCCGGACCGAGCGGTCCCGCTGACCCTACCTGACCTGAGCCCGGCGCGATATGGGACAGGCAGACGGGGGTTCGGCTCAGCGAATGCAGCGCCCACTGGTGCTGGGGACTTTTTTAATAGACCTACTGTACAATGGAACAACCAATCATGCGGACTGTTCTGTCTGAACAAGGTGTATGTCAAAGCGATAGCGCGAGAGTAACAGCGCATGAAAAATGAAATGTGTTACATTCATGAAAAAGCATAGAAATGTAGAACTTTTGGAAAGGAATTTGAAATTTGGCTCAAAACTTGGTTCATTATGGTATTGTAATTGTTTTGGCTCGACGAATGAATGAAATGTTTGCTTGCATTTCCGTTTTTTCTTGATTGGAAAGATCCGGCACTTTTGTGTTGCAGACACAACACGGACCATTCACTTAAATGTTTTGGGAAATCTTTTGCCTTATTTCATTCATTACGGTGTGCTTCGTAAGCTAGCAAGCCTGTCTCAAATAGCCCCACCGATTTTCGGTATATCTGTTTTCACGTCATACAAAAACTTTCTTTCAAAATTTTACTGTCGTTGACTTTAAAATAGTCCTTGATGATGATCCTGTCATTTTGAAAGTTTAGGTTCACATCATATTATGATAACCTTAGCATAAAGTGATGCAATTTTATAACCTACCGAAATGAAGTGTTCTACGAAAAAGGATAAGGTTGAATATAAAGGACATGTAACAGTCTTTGCAAAACTATTTTTTGCGACAGTGATCAAAATTTAATTTCCAGTTGTATGGCGTTTAAAAAATTATCTCTAGCGTGACCGATTTTCTTCACTTTCTTTGCAACTAAACCTGTCTCAAATAGCCCCACCCTATGGGGCTATTTGAGACAGGCTTTAGCTAAACAAATAGCCTTAAGCATTATTACTAGCTGAACCAAAATGCACCTATGTATATGAAAGAGTTCACAGAGAACTACATTTTTGCAATTTACATGCTATAAGAAATATGAACGGTCTTAAAGGGAGAGGTCAAAAACTGATCGCTGTATCACTATAGCACTTCGTCACTATCGCTAGCCATGGCAGGCATTGAGGCTTTAGGAGGTGAGGTCGCTGGACGTGACCTGATGACCTGACCTGGAGTGGCCTTGAGCTAAATTTTTCATAGCATGCGCGAAAAAAGTATGATGAGATGTGCCAAAAGGCAAAAGAAAGGAATGGCACATTTCTAATACTGTTTATAAAAGTGCCGTTTGGCTTGTCGTTGTGTTACCCTCAGTTTGCGTGCCGTGGATCCACGGGATGCTGCTAACTCCGAGCACGCCTTTCAGGTAAAGGAGGCACACTTCAAGGCCCACCCAGAGTGGAAATGGTGCAGCAAGGACCGGCGCAAGTCGTCGAGTAGCTCTTTGAAGACGGAGCCGGGCACGTCGGCCGCCGCCGGCGCGGCGACCGAGCGGCGCCGGCGGCGCGACTCGCCGCAGCCCGAGTCGGATGACGAGCGCATGGTCATATGTGAAGAGTCCACCGACCTGGATCTGCTCTGCAAGGAGAACGTGGCCGACTCGGACGAGAGCGACTGGGAGCGGCGCGCCGGCCCGGCGGCGCCGGCCGCCGTCCGTCCGCGGCCCATCAAGGCGCGCCCGGCGCCCGGCGGCGGCGAGCGGCACCCGTACAGCCCCGGACCGGTGGGCCGCTTCCAGCCGACCGGCGGCGCGTTCAAGTCCATGTCGCCCGGACCGCGGCCCAGCAGTCCTGCAGCCCAGGAGGCCAAGCCGCCGGCCACGTTTGCTATTCTGAACACGGTGCCCCGTCTAGGCGGCGCGGCGCCCGCCAGCGGCCCGCCGAGCGGCCTGCTCACCAGCCTGGTGCTGAAGACGACTGCTGGGCAGAGCGGTGCCGCTGCTGGCCAGGTAATCCTGTCGCCTCAGCAGGGTTCCCAGGTGAGTAACAGGACGGCTGTGGCCGTCACGGAACCGTACCGTCTGTCACGGGAGGGGGCGGGGGTGGGGTGGCTAGACGATTCCCGGATGAAAAGTCAAAACGTTAAAAGTAAACGGATAAAAAGTCAAAGGACATTAAGTCAACAGACAGAAAGTCAACATCGCAAGAAGTCAAAGGACAAAATGTCAAATGAACAAAAAGTCAACCTGCCAAAAAGTCAACACGCTAAAAGTCAACACGCATAAAGTCAACACGCAAAATGTCAACGCGCAAAAAGTCAACACGCAAAAAGTCAAGACGCTAAAAGTCAACACGCCTAAAGGCTAAAAGTCAACACGCTAAAAGTCAACACGCGAAAGGTCAACATGCTAAAAGTCGTTTTAAAGTCATTTTTCCCAGGAAATTAGTTATGTATGGTCACTTTTCGGATTATTCTCTGGGATAATAATATCTAACTCACAAGTCCATATATTTCGGATGATATTGCTCACCCTTGGTCACTGGACAAAATAAAAACAATTACATGTATGAAAAACCACACACCAAAATTATTCCCTAGACGGGTGACATTTTATTTTTAAGTATAGGTATACACATTTTTAAGTATAGGTAGTAGGTATCCATAGGTATATGTAGAACTTAGAAGATTGGTTGCACTACTTGTTATGTAGAGGAACATGCAAGCTAAAAGACCGTGTCAGTTTTTTGGCAAGTGATATATTTTTTGAAAAATGTCACCCGTCTAGGGAATAATTTTGGTGTGTGGTTTTTCATACATGTAATTGTTTTTATTTTGTCCAGTGACCAAGGGTGAGCAATATCATCCGAAATATATGGACTTGTGAGTTAGATATTATTATCCCAGAGAATAATCCGAAAAGTGACCATACATGCTAAAAGTCAACACGCTAAAAGTCAACTTGCTTAAAAGTCAACACGCTAAAAAAAAAACACAAAAAGTCAACAAGCAAAAAGTTAATAGGTGCGCGAAAAAATGATGCGCAAAATGTAGTCAACAGCAAAAAGTAGTCTTTAACAGCAGTCGTTAACTAAGTCGGTACAAGTACGCCGCAGCCCGCGTCTCCTCCGGTCGGCGACTGACCCGCGCCGGGCCACCTGATCCCCGGCCGCCGCCCGCTGGGCGCCGGCTGCACCGCATAGTGCGTCTCGGCGCGTCCCCGTGCGTGCCCCGACACTACCGATAAGAACGCTCCTACCTATTTTTACTTTGCTTTAAAAAGTATATTGGGAATGTGAACTTATCTATATAAAGTTGGCGTACTGTGCCTGCTGATGGCGGGGGGGGGGGGGGGGGGCAGTTCCGATAAGGAGACGTAGGGCGGAGGCGAAGATGAAGGAGAGGGACAGTAACTGGTGGCCACAATGCGCTATACATACTTGTCACCTCTCTTTGGACGTCACAGCTCCGAGGTCCTAAAAATTGTGTTTTTAGCAATTGCATCTCGATAACTTAATTGACCTATACATTTCGATGAAAATTGGTCACCTTAATTGTATGCAGTCCGTGAATATTAACAGGTTGTTGTCTGTTGATGCTGATGTGAGCGTTCCTTTCAAGGCAGGACAATCCGACAATCACACAATTGCCTCTCGTTCCAACTTCCACCTATCTAAAAGAAACGACGCGCTTTACTATTGTACCAATTGTACCATACAATACGCTTGAACTATAATAAAAGTGTGAAATCGCTAATAGAACACGTGACGGAATCAATTGATGAGAAACGTCTCCCTACACAATATAGGAAATTTGAACAAGCGAACCTTTCGTATCGATAACATTCCGGGTTACTATATTTGTTGAAATAATTGCAGTAAACTGCGCCTGGGACAGCCAGTTGTCTCGAAGGATCATGTAACGCTGCCTCATGACAACCTTACGATGCGAGCGAGCTCCCACCTCACCTAGCACGTGTCAACGGATGTGTGTCAGATTTCAGCCAAGCATGCCCGTGTGACCAGCTGAGTCGCGGTTGCGGGCCATGGGAATCCCCATCAGTTGCGCAATGGAGGCAGTCTCGCTTCAATGTCCAATGATGCATGCTTGTGCAGCATCCTGCTTAATTGTGTAGAGCTGTTTGTTAACCCGCGCGGGGCTGGGGTCTCCAGCCGAACGCGCGGGGCTGGGGGGGGGGGTAAATTTTACCCCCCCCCCTGTTATCTCCCGAACTAATGGTCCGATTTGGAAAATTCGAACGCCAATCGAAAGATCTCATCACGAACAACTAAAAACATGTACTTAATTTAAGTTTGAGGTCAAGGTCAAGGTCAGGTCAAGGGTACAAATTGAAAGTTTCTACAGTATCGGCCTTGCACCGTAGTTGCCGAAGAATGGAGTCATGGACTGAGACTGATTGCCCAAAACGTGTTTTTAGGCTACCAAGACAATGTTCGTTGCATACAATATCATTCAGAGGTCAAGGTCAAGGTCAGGTCAGGTCAGGTCAGGTCACCAAAAACAAAATATAGAAAAGGGCATGTGCGACACATGTTTTATGGGTCATTTTACTCATAGAATTCAATAGGCACACTCAATAAGTGATATGGACCACCTCTGGATGAATTTCAGGTCGAGGTCAGGTCAAGGTCAGGTCAAGTGAGGTCAAATTTTGAAGTTGGTTGTTAAGGCCTAAAAAGGTGTCTATCTGATGCAGCTTTTCACGGCGAATCGAATGGTGCTATTTTTGTTTCCGTACGAGGTCTAGAACTTCCAAAAAAATTATTTTTCAATTTTTTTTGTGTGTCGTGACGTCATAAAATTTGAATAACTCCCACATTCTTGAACCGATTCTTCTAAAAATTGGTATGTAGGTGCACATAAACCACTTCTCTGACATATATTCCGGTTTTTTCGATACACTCAAAATTTTGGATTTTATAACTATTTTCCCAAAAAAGTCAGTTTATTGAAAAAATTTGGGCCAAAATCCAAAATTTTCAAAAAACTGAGATAGCCATTTGATAGACAAAGTAGAAAGGCGTATAACCTTTTTTGTTACGTCTTGATTCCTTTAAAAATGAAGATGTTAGCGGCGTTTGAAATTTTGCCGTTTTTTAGGCGAAAATGGCGAACATGACGTCACTAAAACGTCAATTTCTCAAAAATTTTCCGACGGATTTCGCTCAAATTTTCAGGGAAGGTGTCAAATTGATGCAAGAAAAGGTACTGAAGCGCCGCCGTTTTTGAGATATTGCCAAAATTCGCGAGGGGGGTAAAATTTACCCCCCCCCAGCCCCGCGCGGGTTAATGTTATCTCATGTATGTAATGACTGGTGATCCAGGTGTCATTGACTTTGTCTCTTTGACTTGTCCTTTTGAATTTTTGGATTTTGGCTTTATTTCCTTTGGATTTTTCGTAATTTGACTTTATGTCCTGTTGACTTTTCGTCTTTTGACCTTTGTCCTCTTCACTTTTTGTCCTTTTGACTTTTTGGACTTTGACTTTATGTGACTTTTTGACCTTTTGACTTTTTATTTTGACTTCATGCCCGGTTGACTTGTTGTTTTTTTACTTTTGTCCTTTTGACTTTCTGTCCTTTTGGTTTCTTGGATTTTGAATTTATGTCCTGTTCACTTTTTGTCTTTCGACTTTTGTCCTTTTTACTTTTTGGCAATTTGACTTTTTGCCGTTTTTACTTTTTGTCTTTTGACCTTATGTCCATTTGACTTTTTGTCTTTTGACTTCTATGCTAGTTGACTTTTTGTTCATTGACTTTTTGGCAAGTTCACTTTTTATCTTTTGACGTTTTATCCTTTTTGACTTTTTGACTTTTGACTTTCCTCTTTGTTGACCTTTTACCTGTTGACTTTTAAGATTTTTGACTTCTTGCTTTTGACGTAATGTCTGTTGACTAATCATCCTTTTACCTTTTATCATTTGACTTTTTGTCCGGAACCCTGGCTAGACACCCGCCGATCACTGCCAGTCGAGTAGGGTGGAAATGAGCAGCAGCAGGACACGGCCGTGGCCACTGAGTGGCCGCACGGTGCCGGGCCTGTGTGAGTGACGTGTCGGGTGACGGTGACGGGCCTGTGTGAGTGACGTGTCTCGGGTGGCGGTGTCGGCAGGCGGCCGGGAGCTCGTCCGTTCAGTACCTGGTCTCGTCGCTGGCCGTTCAGACCGCCGACGGCAAGCTGCACCCGCTGAGTCTGGCAGCGTCGGCTCCGGCGCCGGCGTCAGCGGCGGCGGCCGTCACCACACCGGCCACCATTCTGGTGACGTCATCGTCGGCCAGCGCCGGCCCGCGGCCGGCGCGGTAAGCAGCACGACCACTACCGATATCCAGCTCCCAGAGTCAGGGGCGGATCCAGGAGTTTTTGCAAAAAAAAAACTGAGGGGGGAGCATGTCAACGTACCCCAGCACGGCGCGGGTTTCACGACTCTCGATTTTGACGACGGTTTGACGCCACTTCGTATGAAGCGCCCCCGGATTGCCAGGTCGCCCCTATTTTGAGTTGCCGCCCCCTCCCCCTCCCGTCCCCCCCCCAGCACGGCGCGGGTTAACCCTCGCATGTGTGCGGTGTTTGCCAGCTTCTAATGTGTAGGGGGGGGGGGGGTCGGTTGGACCCCCCCTTGCCGTTTGGCCCCTGATCGAGCTAGAGCTTCGCGGAAAAAACGAGCGTGTTGCCCGTGACGAGAGGAAGCCGATGATACACAATTTTAAGGTCCTAGGTCATTGGTTGACCTTCCAGGTCAGGTCAATGACCCAAAGTCGGGAAAATCGGGACCTGTTAGAAAGTCGTAAAGTGTGGCTGCTAAGGGGTTTTTCGGGGTGCTGATCACGAATATCGTGTTAGTTTTGATCACAGATGATGTCCTTAAGCATTTACACCAGGTCGGGTCAGGTCAGGTCAGGTCAACCAGTAGGCGTCGTGACGGGTATTCGTAGTACGTGTCAACAGCCTCTGACAGCTTCGTAACATGTTACGAAGGCACCAAACTACTTCGTAAATGTTCAAATGGTTGCTAAATTCGAATTCAGCTCCAAAAACTTGCCTAGAAACATGTACAGCTCGAAAAAGTGAACCGAGGTCACCCGAGGTCACCAAAGGTCAATGACCTGACCTGACCTTCAGGTGACCTTGACACCCACCCTAATGCATGGAAGCAACATCAAATCACATGTTTGAACGTTTGAAACCACGAAAAGCTTGCAAACGCGCGGCTAATGCGAGCCGACATACGCCGTCGCAGAATCGCGATTCCGGCCAAACATGGTCTCGGAAAAGAGGTCACAGGTCAAAGGTCATTTGGGTCAGGGTCATGAAATTTTCAGGGTAGGTGTAAAATTGATCAATGTGAGGGTACTGAAAGTTTCGTTGCGATCGGCCGCTTTTTACGCGAGTTATTCGCGAAAAACTATGGGGGGGTCCATCCGACCCCCCCTACACATGTGAGGGTTAAAAGAGCTATCGAATGCGCTTTTCCGCGGCGCTGTAGCTCTATTGGTTCCCGAGATAGCCGTCGGGAGTTGAAAATCGTTGAAATCGACAAAATTTGACCTTTAATGAACTCGGGTGACCTGACCTTTGTCCTGACCTTAAAATGACCGAGTGTTTTCCTCCTTATTTTTGACGCTCTTTGGATTGCCGCTTACCGCGTGTCGCTACGTGGCCCCGGAGCCGAGTTAGGCGGAGGGGCGTGAAACGCCCCCCCCCCCCCCAGCACTCGACGGAAAGCTCATGCCACCAACACGGCGCGGGTTAATTGTTATGTTAGCTAGTCCCTGTGGCCCGTTGTAAGTTGTTGAGTCGTGGACCTCATCTTGAAGGAATAGGCCTAACATTTTCATAGCAACGTTAAAAAATGTTTATAGGTTATTAAAAAAAAATAGCATCTTTTTGATGAAATATTTGCGAAACCCTCAACATCATCCCATTAGTGCCGAGCTCCCGACGACGACCATAAATACGTCCCCATCCGTCAGCGTGGGTTTATCTGGGTTTATCATAAGGATGCTAAGATTGAAGTTCCAATCCGAAGCTGAAATCATGGAAAGCAAATTTACATTTTACACGCGAAACAGCTGACAACTAAATATTTCTCTCCGCTCCATCTCATTTTGCCCATTACCCTCTTTCATTTTAACCCTCTCTGTTTTCCTTTTCTGTCTCTCTTTTCTCTCCTCTCGTCCTTATCCTCCCCTCCACTCTCTCTCTCTCTCTCTCTCTCTCTCTCTCTCTCTCTCTCGCTCTCTCTCTCTCTCTCTATCTCTCTCTCTCTCTCTCTCTCTCTCTCTCTCTCTCTCTCTCTCTCTCTCTCTCTCCTCTCTCTCTCTCTCTCTCTCTCTCGCTCTCTCTCTCTCTCTCTCTCTCTCTCTTCTCTCTTCTCTCTCTCTCTCTCTCTCTATCTCTATCCTCTCTCTCTCTCTCTCTCTCTTCTCTCTTCTCCTCTTCTTCTCTTCTCTTCTTCTCTCTCTCTTCTTCTCTCTCTCTCTCTCTCTCTCTCTCTATCTCTTCTCTCTCTCTCTCTCTATCTCTCTCCTCTCTATCTTCTCTCTCTCTCTCTCTCTCTTCTCTCTCTCTCTCTCTCTCTCTCTCTCTCCCTGTCTGACTTTCCTCCTGTCTCTCCCTGTCTCTCTCTTACTCTTTCTCTCTCTTTCTCTCTCTCCCTCTCTGTCTCTCCTCTCTCTCTCCCTCTCTCTCTCTTTGTCTGTCTCTCTTTCTCTCTCTCTTTCTCTCTCTTTCTCTCTCCCTCTCTCTCTCTCTCTCTCTCTCTCTCTCTCTTTCCTCACAATACTCTCGACTGCCACAGCGTTGTAGGACTTGTTTCCAGACAGGTCCTGGCGCTCCCCGCTCCGCAGGCCCCAGCCCACACGGCCCAACCGCTCAAACACCCTCCGGCGGGTGACCTCTGACCTCGGCGACCTGACCCCAGCCGACCCGATCGCGTCCCTCTCCACGCCTCCGCCCCGCTTCCCCCACTACAGCTGCGTAGTAATTGTAGCGTGTGCAAAGGTCACATGACATTATTTACTTCTGCGGTTTGTTCGGCTGAGAAGAGATGGCACTAGTGGTCTGTGGATCAGAGGCGGGGCTAGGTTCTACGACTTCTTGGGGCACACTTAAGGGCAGAAAAGAGGTTTTTTGGCTCCCCATCCCAAAGTGCTTCGAAAATACAAAAACAACTTAGATACTCGAAAATCGGAGGACCAAACGGATCGTTTGACGTATCTTGCTCGACTGAGAATTGATCGGTCTTCAAACTACTGAACAAAAACGAGGTGATTAGTAGCAAGTGCTGGTGACTGTACCTACCAGGCTGCGTTGGATCCAGATGCTCCAACCCCTGCATGCCACGCACAGCTTTCTATCGCGATGGATCGATACAGCCTCTCATCCCAGTTGTTCCAGTGAGCGCCTTCACTTTGAATACAATGTTACAAACACTCCTTAGATATATAATCTCAACCACCCTTCCACAATAATCTGAATCGCCACTAACACCAGTCGAAACACAACAAAGCGGTGGCACACGAGGCCAAAGAACACGACGTATTTTGCTCTGTCACACGTACCACGGTATCCATACCCATTTGTTGCTTTAACATGGTGTGACACGAGAAATATGCGAGTTTTTGCGTACTCCAGCTCAGAATACAAATAATAGCGCAGATAAGACAGTACCAATGTGTTCTGTCAGCAGCATAAGATGCTAGCGTTTCTGGGTAGCCAATAAACGGCAAGCATTTCAAAGCGTATGTGCGTGTGTGACAGTTTAAGAGCTGCAGAATTTGAAGACCAGCACCTGATAGACAAGCAGAAGGTAATGCAATTTGGGAGTTTTTTCTCTCTGAACCACTACAGACTGCTCTCTTCTGTCACATATCCTGATATGCAAGTATGTCACTTTTTGCACCTCTGATTACGTCATTTGTGGGATAATTGACCCTGACAACTCGGCCCGTCCCAGCATGGTGACCCTGAGCGCACCAGCCAAGTTGCCACGCCAGTCCCGAGTAACCCGCGCATCACTTATAGAACCCCCTCCCGTTTTTCGGCAATATCTTCTAAACCCTTTGACGGATCAGCACGAAACTTGCGGTACTCTCAGCGTCATCAATTTGACACCTTGTGTTTAAATTTCAACTTTATAGCTACCATAGTTTGGCCGGAAATGACGTCAGAGTGACGTCATGTCGGCCGATTTTGATGCAATATATGGCATTACGGCAACGTTCTCAAGAGCTCAGTTTTAAAGTGACCATCCCACCTTAACATTAGTTTTGAGTTGAGATAGCCAAATTGGTGGCCATGGCCTGCAAATACCGGTTTGGACACTCACAACATCGAAAAATGCTTTAATTCGGAGATATAGAATTTCAAACTTGCAGTTTTCGGATTCTAAGGGGCTAATGCAATGGAATACCCCCTTAGAATTTGTGACGTCAGCGGTGATCTAACGATTTTAAAACCTTATGCTTACATCTTTGTGAAGCAGTGGTGGTATATGCTATTTGCGCGCAACATCTGCCGCAAACGCCGCACTTCCAAAATGAAGTCGCTAGGAACAGCGGAGATCTCAAAAAGTAAACAAAAGTAAAAGTCTCATATCTTGAAAACTGGTGAATATTTTTCGGTGAAATTTGGTAGATATTCGTTTTTGCTCTTTGTGAACCGAGTGACATCAATTTCATGCCAATTCATTAACTTTTTTTGAAGGTGGGAGGGTCCCTTTAACCCTATTATTAGTGGGGGGGGGGGGCGATTCGGCCCCCACCTGTAGTTTTCTTGCTCTCGACGGAATATGACTTAAGGTAGGGGAGTTTCTAGCTTGCGCAGAGGTGTCTCCACTTCTAGGATGTATTTCTCGGGGGTAGTTTTGGCCCAGATTTCACTGTTTCGACATTTGCCGCTAAGCAGCGACTTACTCAGGTTTATACCTACTGGTGACCAGTGGCACCACCGTCATATGTATGCGCCTAAAGACTATATGACGTCATTTTACAATGAAAATATTGGAATAGGCGGATCCAGGTACCTGAGAAAAGGGGGGTAATATCAATCTACTGCCCCCTGTCTTAGCGTGCCTGAATCCGCCTATGCGTAACGAAAACGTGTGTTTTGTGCTCACGTTCCATATTTTACATGATATATGACACATTATGTCATAAGACACATGATATGCCAAGACAAAACTCAAAACATCATCCCAAGTTAGCTTCCCTGAATCCGCCTATGATTTTTTGAAATATCCAAAAAGTACCGGAATATATATGAAGGCCCAGTTCATGAAGAAGGGTTCCCTGAAGTTTCATCAATATCGGTCAAAAAGAAAGAAGTTATAGCATACGTGTGTTTGCTATAACTTCCAGAGAAAAGAGGAAGATGA